GCAAGATTGACCTCATTCTGGTATACACAATTACTTTTTTAGAATTAAAATGCAGGTGTTAAGCCCTTGTGAGGCCTTGAGGATTTAAGATACGCCCTGTGGAAATTGCTTAGAATCATTTAGTTCTAGCTCTGATGCCAGACACATCTTGATCCAAAATTCTGTTCCCTTGGTTACAATCTGAGAGTGTCATTTTGGGGAAAGGGCTTTCTGTTTTGTTGTTTTTTTCTTTTTTTTTTTTTTTTTTTTTTTTTTTTTTTTTTTTTGGAGATAGGGTCTCACTCTGTAGCTCAGGCTGGCCTTGAACTCGGGGGATATCCTCCCACTTCAGCCTCCCGAGCGCTGGGGTTACCGGTGCGCGCCACCACACCCAGCTAAGGAACCCTTACTTGAACCTGTTATGCAGCCTCTAGACCCAGTAAAGAGACCCTGAGCTGGTTAAGTAAGGATGTTCAACATCCAGATGATGAGGTATGATGCTGCCACTAAAGCTTATTTTTTTCTGGTCATGATGACACATGTCGATAATCCCAGCAACTCGAGGGGCTGAGGCAGTTTAAGTCCAACCTGGGCAACTCAGAGAGACCCTGTCTCAAAATAAAATTTAACATGTCTGGGTTATAGCTCAATGATGGAGTGCTTGCCCTGAATACACAAGGCCTTAGGTTTGATCTCCAGTGCCAGACGAAAAGGTTATTCTGCAAAGAATATTTTATGTCAAAATGTTTACAATATAGTATTAAGTGAAAAAAGCTACAGAAATATAGTATTCAAATTTTGAAACATACATTTTATAACATGATATATACAATATAAATTTTTTAAAAGGCTAGAAGGAAATGCACCAAAATATTAAAGCTCATTATCTCACAGTGGTGATGTTATTATTGGGCTTTATTTTGTATAATCATGTATTACTCTTACCAGGGGAAATACTTTACAATAAGCAAACAAACAAGCTACTCACATTATTGTCAAACAAGGGAGCCAGCGTGGGGTTGTCCAGGAGCCAGGTGAGAGGAACCAGGGTCTGGAACTGGTTTGCTTTGTCTTCTTAGCAACACAAAATCATTCAATGCCTTGAAGGTACTTTAGGCTTACTTTCAAGTGTCCTTTTGATGGGATAGAAATATTTGGCCCTGTCCACAGCCTTGACTCTTATAAAGGCTCGGACATGTAGTCCCTGGCTGAATCAAAGAGGAATCATGAAGACTTTCTCTCTAACCAACTAAGGAAATTCTTCCACATTGGGTTTTTGTTTTTGTTTTATCAAGACAGGGTTTCACCATGCAGTTTGGGCTGGCTTTGAACTCACTTTGTAGCCCAGGCTGGCCTCAAACTCACATCAATCCTCCTGCCTCAGCCTTCTGAATGCTGGGAATTACAGGTTCACACCACCACACCCAGCTAGGTAGAAGGAATTCAAGTAATTTAAAGTTTTCGAGTGGGAATGTAGTTCGTTGGGAGAGTTCTTGCTTAGCATGCATGAGGCCTTGGGCTCAATTCCCAGCACTTCAAAATGAAATAAACATAAATTAATTACTTAATGAAAAATTTCTCCTAGCAGGGATGGACAATGAAAAGAAAATGTTGAAAAACCCAGCCTCGTGCATAAACATGGCCTATGGGAGGGAGTCAGGCAGCCCTGGTTCCACCACTTGAACATGAAATTCCAATAGTATTATTTACCTCCGTTATTGGGAAGATTAAATGAGATGACATGCCTGGCATATAGTAATGACTGATAAATTTCTCTTTCCCTTTTCAGAAAATAGAGTTTCCCACTTTTCAGTTTTTGTACCGAAAGTCTGTTGCTTTTATAACTAGGAGAGAAGTTATGTTCCGAAAGAATTGTGGTAGAACTCACAAATGTGGGCACTCGCATCCCCGCGTGACCCTGCTTCTGGTGCTGAAGGAACCGAGACCCGAGGGTGTGGCCGCAGAGGTCTGAGACCCACAGCAGAGCAGGCAATGGCGAGGCCTCCCCGCTCCCGGCCAGCGCAGCATCTGGCCTGGAGAGCTAACGAGGGGATTGGGCGGCAGAGGTGGCCACACGCCGGGAAGCGCTCAGCCAGACTCTCCACCCATTTCGAGTCCTAGCTGGGCACCGGGAGGGGCAGGATGCCGGGCTCCGGAACCGCCTGGACCGCAGCGGCCCGCCGAGAACCCGAAGGGCGGAAGGTGCGAGCGCCCCTGCGGCTGTCCTCTCCTAAACCCTGAGCCGGAGTAGCCCACAGGGAACGGCACCAGCCCGCGCGCCCGCCGAGCCGCTGCGCCCTGACCGGAGATGGGAACGTGGGGGGAGCCTCTCTCCGCAGCTGTGATTGGAGCAACCCACACCTCCTGGGAGAGAGGGCTAGAGCGCCCGCGAGGGATGCGCAGAGGCGGGTGCTCAGAACCCTCTCCGTGATTGGACAGCAGTGCCGGGAACCAAGCACTGTCTCGATGATTGGCAGGCTCCCGACAGCCCTCGAAAACCGCCTTAGCTTCGCCCATTGGCATCCTGAGCGAGTAGGCGGGATTGGTTCATCGTGCGGTGTTGATGATTAGCTGGCCGATGAGAGGGTGTGGGGAGAGAGGTAGGGAAGGGGAGCGGCGGGGGCATCGACTTCCTCCTCGTCATTGGCTGCTGAAGCGAGTGGGGGTGGGGAGAAAGTCCAGTGGCTGCCTGTGATTGGCGGGCGCTAGCGTGAGTGACAAGCAGCGGGGGAGCTGCGCGACCAGCGGTTTGTTTTTCGGAGCGTTCTTGTGGAGAACAGTGGCCGGACCGAGCGACTGCGGACTGAGGGACTGGCGGGCGGGCAGAGCGGCGCCTCCGAGGCCGGGCTGGGCCTAGCCCGGGAGTGCCCGGGATGTAGCGGGCCGCCCTGCCCATGCCACAGCGCCTGGCCGCGGGCGGAGCCGGAGCC